TTAACCCACCTTGCTTTCTGAAAATAGTAGTGTTCTTGGTAAAATAATCCCTAAACTTTAGCCTACAAACAGCCCTAGCATATAGGAAATGATGAGCATTCATGAGCCAAGCTGAGGGAGTATGTCACAGTCATGAGACTAGACTCTGACAGCAGAGATCTGGAATAAAGGAAAAACATTCCAGGCCAGTTTTCCCCTTTCTCCCTGATCACAGCTTCTGGCTTGTGACCCTTCTTACTCTGTCTCTCATTTGCTTTCAGTATTTAAAAACCAGCCTAAAAATAACTTTCAGAATCAATATTTTTATAGGTATCCCCCATGAACAGCCTCAGAGATAAGCCTCTGAGACTCATCTCAATTTCTAATACTTAGCCACGTAATGTGGGGCTCTCCTCCAGAGGGGAGAGGCTCTAAAAGGAGGTTTGGGAAAGACATTAACTTATAATTACAAGAAGGGGCTGAGGATCAAGGTTCCTAAATCTTTACTTATAATCTGAAGCACATCTTTTAGCAGCTATGATTCTGTTTACCTCTGTCCTAAACCATTCGCAAGACCTTAGACCACAGGAGGTAAAAACAATGTGCACATATAGTTTCTGGCGGTAGATTTAACTCTGATGCTGAGAGGGATCATGAGCCCCACACCTGATTATGGTGCCCAAGAACAGGGACCTCCTATCATTCATGCCTCGTAGCCTGCGAAGTAACAGGTTCTTCTGTGGCACCGCCCTAGCACTGAGCGTCCTCACACCCTGACTAAACTCAGAATGAATTAACGCCTCAGATGAAATAGCAAATAGACTGGCATGCAAAGGAGGCAACGTGCTATGAAGCCTCCGCCCCCCTCCCGCTCCAACTACTCCTCCCTGAACGCAAGAGAACACGAACAACCCTACACACCTATGGATAGTCCTTGGTTACCGCCAACAAACAATGGAAAAGGAGAGCCAGGAATTCTGGCCAGAGTGACAAGTGCAGGCCTCCCCCTTCTCTGACGGCAGGTTACCAAACAGGCAGCCTGGGCACATGGTTGGGGCACCAGCAGAACAGGAATACCTGAACGAGGTGTTTACTGAAAGGAGTTTAAAACAAAAGTAACTAACTAACTAACCTAAACAGTCTTTGTGAGAAATATCAGAACTTCGTCGAATTGGTTATACTTGTTTTACAGTGAAATGTTTAAAAGTTCTTTGGGGAGAGAGAACTCTCCTTTCAGGGCTTAGAGCCTCTGATTGCAATCTTGCCTGCCTGGAGCAAGCCAAACTCCCTGGACAGACACAATTCAGTCCCAGCCTCTAGTTCCACGGAGGAACAGAGACCCTGTAATACCAGGGGTGGGAGTGGGGGGCCAATGATGGGGCCTTCCCCCAAAGCACCAAAAACAAAAATTCGTACCTCAGCTGAAAGAGAGGTCATAAACTCAAAACCTGTGGGCTCTGTTTGGCCAGAAGATGCAGAAATGCATTTTGTTTGGTTCCCATGTTTTAAAATTTTTACATCAAAGTCCATTTTCTGATTTTTTTTTTCAACAGTGGAACAGCAGTACTGAATTTGAAATGCTGCTTGGCAAAAATTGTCTGAGCTGAGTGTGGGACATGCTCTCCTAGGTCTAGTCTGTTAGAGATGACACCACTCTCCTTGGACCCAGTCCCATGGCTGGCCTCCCTCAGGTGTGAAACCCTCCTGGCCCCTATGGGTAGGTACTTGGGTTTGGGACCCTTTAAAGCTTTGATCCCTCATTAAAATACAGAATTTGTAGCAAAAGAAATACATGAAGGCTTTGACAGTGTTATTTGCAGGTCACCACAAATGAAAGTCCTGATGGTCTTTCCTCAGGAAAGATCCAGAGAGAGCTTGGGAGCTGCAGGTTCTGAGAGGGGTGGATGGAAGCAGTTGCTAACTATCATAGGAGGAAAAAAGACCACACCTGGGATTGAAAGCAGACTATAACTGCAGAATTTCACAGCGGGGCGGTCTGTTAGTGGTGTGTCTGACTTGCTTGCCCTTCGGGACCATGCCATGGCTCCTTTCTCTTCTGGTCTGGCTGCATCAAGCAATGGGTTGTCTTTTTCAGGAGATCGATTTGCTAGGGCTAAGACAATTTGAGTTTAGTCGGCCCGGGCACCTGCCACAGGACACCCTATCCGCGATGTTAAGAAAAGCCAAACCTATTGGCCCACGCTCCACGCTGCTAGGCCACTGGGCACTTCCCACACCATGCATTTCCCACCCAGGAGGAGTGTGCAAAGGGCCTGTGATGGTGCTCCTTCCCCCATGGGGGTGCTCCTGCCCAGAGCATCATTGACCATCCTGTCATTCCCTACGGCTATGTCCTGAGCTAAAATAGAAACCCCCTTTGAGGTTAACGTAGTCTTTCTTTTGTCTTTTGCATTGAAAAAAGCCAAATGACTTGAGCATCTGCTCATGCTTTCTGACTGCCAAGTATGTTCTTTACCACCCAAGTAGTAACGTTTATTGATTTAAACCACAGAGAGCTCTATATGAGAAAGAGAACACATGTTGGATCACATTCAAAATGGTCTCCTAGGTTGCAGAAAACCATAAGATACCCCCTTGGGAATTCCCACCACAGGGACAGGTCGTCAAGGCTCAGCATCTCCCAAAATTTCCAAAAGCATGATGACAAATCAGGGAGTGCCTGGACCTGACTCTTACCACTAGGTGTCACACTACACAATCAGGAATAAAGACTACCAGGTCTTGAAGTCCATCAGGAACGTAAAGGAGTAAAAGGGAGTGCAAGAAGGCTATTGAGGTACTTTTTATTTATGCACTATTTTCTTCCTTAATGATCATTTTTTAATTTGCAGCTAAAAATCCTCTTCTAAGCTATATAAGTGGGGCATTTAGAGTTCAACATTCTTTCTTTTTTTTTTCAGACATGAATATTCCAGATAGGGGGACATCGACCCTCTATTTTACCTAACGATTGGAGTAGAAAATATTTTGAGTATCTTCTTTAAATTATAGTACATTCAGTCTCATGTCTACAATGAGTATTCAAAAGTGTAAATACTACAACTGCTTTGGCCCCATGATTAATATGTTGGGATAGAAATTAGATAAACTGCCATGGGGTGCCTAGGTAAATTTCTCTGCATTTCAGTTTCTTTTTGGGAAGATAGGAATGATACCTATCTTACAAGAGGAGTTCTGAGAACGAACAGTGTATTGCAAGAAGTGTGGGAATCCTTCCAAGAACCTATAGTGTGATGTTTCCAAGAGACATAGTCACCCTTAAGCAGCTACACATGTGTTTGTGGACAAGCAATACAATTTTTAAGCAGCAAAAAAACCTTAAATGACATTAAATCCAATCTTATTATAAAAGCAGGTAGACCTCAGCAAAGTTAACTGATCTCTCCAATTAATATGCAATTGGAGGTGGAGCCCAGAAGTGAGATCTCCTACTTATAGCCGCTATTCTATCCTGCCTCAATAATTGTATACTTTGTACATAATATGCCTACAGAGACAATGGAGCCTATCCTTGGGAAGTTTTCATTGTAACATGTGATCATTACTATCCTGAAGGTTTTATTTCTTGATTTTAGTGCTTTTCCCCCCCCTCATATTTTTTATCTTCACTCCCCCCGACCCAGGTTCCCTCCATTTAGATAGCTGGAGGAGTGGAAGGAAAAGAGATGGCAAACGGTTGGTTGGTTAGTACTTGGCCAGTCAAGGTAAAGATGATTGCAATATAATCACCAGAAATTTCTGCAAAACTATGGAGGCTCCCTGGGGCTCATCCTGAAAAACTCTGACCCAAGTTGCTATATTTTGCCTGGACCAGTAGAAGTAGATGAATTCAATTATATGCTTGCTGGCTAGGAGATGGGGGTGGCGTGGGAACATAAGTTCTATTTCTACGGGTGAAATCAGAGGATGAGGAGCCTGGGGTGACTATACACATTGCCTGGAGAGGTCCAACTGCTGCCCTCCCAGGGCGGGAGAGCACGGAGCCAGCAAGGGGGTAATGGTAGGGCTGCCGGGAGCCTCCCGTAGCATGCTTAGCAACTACTTTGTTAGCCATCCTTAAGGCCCTATCTTGGGTAAGGCACTGCTCAACCTATTCTTCAGCCTCGTCCAAATGCTTCTGCAAAGTCTCCCAGCTGGGCATCCAGAAGTAAGCTGAGGATCCATTCTCTGCAGCAGCATGGTGCAAATCAGGGAACATGACCTCAATAATTATTTTGTTCATGCAGGGTAGCTAGCTACAACCTCTACTACAAAGATCAACACCTTGCTTTACTTGAAAAAAAAAAGTCATGTTCAGCATTTTCCCCGAATACAGTCCAGTCACCAGGACCGTTTATCCCGAGGAAATGATTGAGGGTTCTCCAAGCCTTAGGCTCTTAATGCCAAAGCATTCACAACTTCTCCTGGTCGGGGGGGTGGGGGGGCGCTACATGTCCCTGCGCGGCAGAGAGCCTGATATTGGCAGGAAGGCAGAGGCGGCCTGCGACCTTCTAACCGGCCAGTGCGTCCTTCCCCGCAGCGAGAAGTTTGGGGAAGCACATCCCGACGTCCAGCCATCATTTCCACTCCTGTTTTCAAAAGATCAAGAATCGGAAAGGACCGGCCGATCGGCAAACCCCAAGGAGGAACTGCCCAGCAGGTCTGCGTTCATTGGGATCTCAGCAGTCGACGACCCCAAATCGAATCGACCGTGGGAAACCCCAGGGAAAGAAGGCTTCTTGCAGAGGGACGGGATTACTGAGTGCAAGCTGCAGGGAAGTACCGGGGGAGGGGACCTTAGTCGGGAGGACTTTCCAGCCACTCAGCGTTCATCAAAAAGTTCCCTGTACATGACCCCAGTGGCTCAGCGCAGGGAGTTTCTCTGATGAACCCGGCTCAGGGTTTAGGCTTCTCCCCCACCCCCCCCCCCTCCCTCCCTCCCTCCCTCCCGAGCAGAAGACGAGGCCAGTTCTCTTTTCTGGTCTGACTGGCTTGGAAATTCCCCGCGCCTGACCCCGCCCCGGAGAAATCCCCTGCCAGCGTTTATAGGGCGCCGCGGCGGCGCTGGCGAGCCCACAAGAGTCGCAGCCAGCGGTCCTCCCCTCCGTGACACTGCGAGGCAGCGAGCGCGCAGCCCGCGGCCGAGCGCACCTGGGCAGCAGCGCCAGAGCTTTCACCGCGCCATGTTTCAGCCCGCCGAGCACGCCCAGGACTGGGCCATGGACGGTCCCCGGGACGCGCTCAAGAAGGAGCGGCTGCTGGACGACCGCCACGACAGCGGCCTGGACTCCATGAAGGACGAGGACTACGAGCAGTTGGTGAAGGAGCTGCGGGAGATCCGCCTGCAGCCGCAGGAGGCGCCGCGCGGCGCCGAGCCCTGGAAGCAGCAGCTCACCGAGGACGGAGACTCGTAAGTGTCGCGGGGCCGGGTGGCGGGGACCGGGTGGGGACGCCGGGCCTGCAGCGCGAGGCCCGCGAGGCGGCCGCAGTCCGGGGTTTATGCACCGCCGCCCCCCTCCCTCCCCGGAGACCGTGCAAAAAGCGGAGGGCTGCGCGTAGGGGCGGGGGGATGAGGGTCGGACCCCGGGGCGGCGGTGCAGCAGCTCCGCCTTGCAGCCGCGCACGCCTCCCCCCCCCCTCCACGGCAGGCCGGGTCCGGGTTCTCTCGGCGGGGGCGGGGCGGCGGTGGGGACGCGAAGTCCCGGCTTTGCAAAGGGGGGCGGGGGGAGCGGGAGTTTCTGCCCCGCTGGCGGGCGCCGCGCGGCCGGGAGGGGAAGTACAGGGCGTTCCGGCCCGGCGGGAGGGCGGGGCGGTCTGACCGGCGCCCGCCGAGGAGGGGGGGGGCCCGGAAAGTCCCTGGGCGCCTGCCAGGAACACTCAGCTCATAATAACCTCGCGGAAAACACCGCGGCCTCGGCCTCCAGAAACCCCGGCCTTGCGCAATCCCCCGCAGCCCGCGCCGCCCTGGGCCCCACGCAATACACTCACCAGCCCTCGGGGTTTTTCCCTCTCTTCCCCTTAGGTTCCTGCACTTGGCCATCATCCATGAAGAGAAAGCACTGACTATGGAAGTGATCCGCCAAGTGAAGGGCGATCTGGCCTTCCTCAACTTCCAGAACAACCTGCAGCAGGTGCGTCGGCCTGCCCAGCCCCGTGCCACTGTGCCTCTCTGACCCAGTGATGAAGTTGTATCTAGCACAGTTGCTCCCAATCCTTTGTAAATTAATAATCACTAGTCCTTATCTACCCTGACCTTTTACGTTGGAATCAGCCAACGTCCTAGAGAGGAAAGAAAATTCCATTGATTCGGGGAGGCCTTTCTGAAAGCCCACCTGGGGCCTCCGGGATTTGTCTTGCCCCTTATACCTGTTTCGGAGGAGCAGCACCCATGACTAGGAGATCTCTGGGGTTCACGGGGAGACGGACTCTGAGTTTGGGCCATGGCTTACCCTCTTTCTGTTCCCTCTTCTGTTTGCAGACTCCACTCCACTTGGCTGTGATCACCAACCAACCAGAAATTGCTGAGGCACTTCTGGAAGCTGGCTGTGATCCTGAGCTCCGAGACTTTCGAGGAAATACCCCCCTACACCTTGCCTGTGAGCAAGGCTGCCTGGCTAGTGTGGGAGTCCTGACTCAGACCTGCAGGACCCAGCACCTCTACTCCATCCTCCAGGCCACCAACTACAATGGTACGTCTGCCTGCCCTACCCTGCCCATCAGAAGGCAGGTGACATGGAGAAGGGAGAGGTGGGCCAACTTTAGGAGTCCAGGCAAGGGTGGAAACTCTCAACACTTGAAAGAATGAGAAAATATACATGCAAAAGGCCTATTTGATGCCTTAATAAAGTTCATTCAGAGCCCAGATTGTGGGTTCTCCAAATTCAGAAGCATTTGTTCCCTAAAGAATAGGTGGAAAGTTCTGCTTCAGATCTGAGGGTTGAAACAAGTGGTTATACTTTCTTCATTGTTCTTGTAGGTCACACGTGTCTACACTTAGCCTCTATCCATGGCTACTTGGGCATTGTGGAGCTTTTGGTGTCTTTGGGTGCTGATGTCAATGCTCAGGTGAGTGCTTCATGTCTCCAGATGGAATGCATCAAGGCTGCAAGGCCCTCCTCAATAAGACTTCACGTGCTCTTGTTACAAGCAGAAATTCCAAACTCAGCCATAAACATCTCAAATTCCTTTTGGTTTCAGGAGCCCTGTAATGGCCGAACCGCCCTCCATCTTGCAGTGGACTTGCAGAATTCTGATCTCGTGTCACTCTTGTTGAAGTGTGGGGCTGATGTCAACAGAGTGACCTACCAGGGCTACTCCCCATACCAGCTCACCTGGGGCCGCCCAAGCACACGGATTCAGCAGCAGCTGGGCCAGCTGACCCTCGAAAACCTTCAGCTGCTGCCGGAGAGCGAGGATGAGGAGAGCTACGACACGGAGTCAGAGTTCACAGAGGACGAGGTGAGCCTCAACTTCGTCACTCTGCACAGAGCAATACCCTCCCAGGCCCTTAGAGCCGCTCTTTGTCCAAAGGGCTCAACGTAGTGAAGTTCTCACACTTTAGTGTGCGTGACCAGTAGTACCCCAAAAGTGTGTCTTCGTTTTTTGCCCTTTTTAAAGGAGAGGAGAACTAAACAAAAACTCCCTCAGCCCCTGAAGTTAGTTTGTATTCGGGTTATGGAGAATGGAACGCAAGAATACTTGAGTTATTTCCAGGGACAGCCCTCACCATTATCCCAGCACCTCTGGCAAAGCTCTGGAAGTTTAACGTGCCTTTGCTTTCTCTTGTTTTTAGCTGCCCTATGATGACTGTGTGCTTGGAGGCCAGCGCCTGACGTTATGAGCTTCGAAAAGTATCTAAAAGAACATGGACTTGTATATTTGTACAAAAAGAGAGTTTTATTTTTCTAAAAAAAAAGAAAAAAGAAAGAAAAAATCAAAAGGGGTTACTTAAGACCACACTTCACACTCCCTGGCCCGAAACATTTACTATGGTGCATCAGCCCTCATTTTGTTATCTTTGTGAACTTTGGAAGGGGGACAAGAAAGATCATTGGAATTCAAAGAAAACCTTTTTCAAACCTCGCCTTTGTGGGGTTTTTGGCAAAGGGACAACATTTTATTGTGCTTTTTGACTGAATCACCATAGATTCCGTGGCTGAGCCTGGTGGGAGATGTGTAACGACCAGGTGTGTCGTTAAACCTTTCAGGCAGGGATGTGGGGTTAAAAGTCACTACCTGTCAAGGTTTGTGTTACCCTCCTGTAAATGGTGTACATTGTGTATTTTGTTGGTAATTATTTTGGTACTTCTAAGATGTGTATTTATTAAACAGATTTTTACAAACAGAATTCTCCTGATCATTCTCTTTGGGCTGCTGAGGGGCTCCCAATCTGAGTCTCCAGGGGAGGTGGAGAGCTGTGTGGGCGCACTTACCACAGCCAGCCACAAAACCCTCTCAGAGAGCAGCTTCTCACACTGTGGACACCACACTCCCTGCCAGGCTTTGCAGGCAGCCCCGGGGCCCTGTGTGTGGGAGGGGAGGCTGTTGCAAGATGATAGGAAATACCATTCTTAGGCCTGGGGTGGGGGTGGCAGTGAGCTGCTTAGCCTACAGCTGGAAGCCTCCATTGCCATTTGCTTTCATCTTGGTTTAAGCTATGCCGGGACCCTTCCACTTTAGGAATCATTTTGGTCAAGAGAAATCTGCTGAAGTCATATTCTGTATTACTGGGAAAGTTCTTAACTATAATACTGGAAGTTCCTAAGGCATGGGCTCAGGATTGGGACTGCATGCACTAACATTTATTAGCAGGTACCCACCTCTGAGGCTTTTCTTCATTTATAAACTGGGCTGTTAAGATTGCACAAGACAACGCACGTCTAAAGCATAGCAGAGTGCCAGGCACATGGTGCTAAAAAGAAATGCAAGCTATTGCGCAACATCCTGTATTTCATAGGGGAAGAAACAAGTCCAGAAAGAATGTCCTGTCCGGGGTCACCTTGCAGGAGAGGCAGGTAGTTAAATTCCAACTCTTGTTTCCAGAGTTGGTTAACATCTTTTAACTGCTTTCCACCTCTAAGTCAACCTATTGTTACGAAGTAGTATGAATGATACTAAAAGCTTGAAAAGTCTTTTCCCCAGCTCGATCAGTGTGCTAATTCTACTGAATAATTCTACAAGAAGTCAAGAACTTGTGAAATTGAAGTGCTCTGTATGGATGTTTTCATCCCTAAAATACATTTCTTGCCAAGGTAGAAAGAGGAGTAAAGTTCATGGCATTCTATAAAATACGGAATGGCATATAAATGCAATCCCTGTACTTTGGCTTACACCTAAGAAAATCTTGCCATTATATTATCCCTTTCCGGATCCATAAATGTGGTCAAAGTCAAGTAAATATGATCACCTTCCTCTCAAACCAAAAAGGAGCCAATACTTAGGGGGGTCTGTTAATATATGAAGTGTATTACTGTCAATTGGACTGACCTGTCAAAGCCAGCCCTGTCGCCCTCCTGCAGCCTCAGTCATCTAGAGCTGAGCACAGTGGTGGCCCCTCTACCAGTCTTCTCTTCCCTCAGAGAGCTCCAGGCCCATCACAGAAATTCCTTGTGCATCCCAGAGCACATAAACACAGGTGCTATGTGATCTCACACAGCAGTGTCGACAAGGTTCAGCTCTGTCTGCTGCTGAGTAGAAGAGGTAGGTAACAGGGGTGGTGGGGAATATTCACCCCATATCCAAAAGAACACAGGTTGGAAACTTGGCTTCCAAGTTTGGAATGATGCCCTTAGTATTTCTTAGTCACACGTGCCTCTTTTCCCCCCCTGTAATGGTACTGAATTTGTGCCAAGTTGCTCATCGCCTTTATTCCAGCTCCGTGAGAAGGTTGGAGAAATGGGACAAAGGGATGTAGCCCACTCTTCCTCAGCCTCCTTCATGACTGACTTTTGTGTAGAGGTGACACCCTCCATGGTCATGGCAGGGAGGGGCCTCTTCTGACCCATTTGGGCCTAGCCTCCCACATTTCTAGGGTCAGGGTGGATTCCATTGTCTGCATAAATCTCAAGGTTACTGGGCCCAGTTTCTTACTCTCAGGTCCTTCTTCCTGTTCCTCCACCTCCTTTCTTTTCTTTTTATTTGAAACCTACTTTCTATCCTTTATGCCATTGGTTGGGTGGCTGGAGCCTGGAGTTCCCTAAAAGAAAAGTTTTAGAACAGAAACATTCTAATCTACAGAGTCTTCGGCAAATTTCTAAGCAAACAAGAACAAAAGTTTTCAAAGAAAACAGTGCAGCAGCCTGAGAGCCTTTTAGGCACTCTGATTCTCTCCAAGAAGCCAAACGTCCTGTCAGGACAGGTAGAAGTAAGGGAGCCTTGGGAAAGAGGGAAGTGTGACAGGAGGAGGGAAATAGTCACATCAGCAACTTCCTTGAATTTAGTTCCTTGATTCCTTCTGCCTGCCTCATCCTCAGGACAAATTTCCTTTATAGGTCACATGTACCCAGTCCCTCCCAGAAAGAAGGGTTTTTCTTTAAAGAGGGAATAAATTCCAGTGTGAGCAACTGGAAGGCCTTCATGTGGGGCCTGGAAGTGCGGGAGGCTAGGTGCGGGGGGCGGGGGGCGGTATTTGCATTGAAACTTCAATAGCTACTGGAAGTGATGAAGTGCTGGATTGTGAGAACTGAGTCAGTGCAATGGGTTCTTCCTTCGCCCCCCTTCCTCCCTATTTTCATCAGCTTGCCCTAGGTGCAGTTGAAGTTTCATTTGGCAAGAAAGGTCAGAGCAGAACTCCAGTCAGAAACATGCCCAAGAAGCATTCCCCAACCCTGGTACTTGGACAAGAAGATCCCAGGCTGGTTCCCCATTTTAAGGGACCATTACAGAAACTAAAACCAGATACCCTGTGTGTTTCCATCCTGGAGAAGTGGAATTCTCAGACTCATTCATTCATTCACATTATGAAGCACTATGATTCCTCAGGGCCTGTGCCAGGGACCAGAACCCCCAGGAGGAACCAGCCCAGCCTCTGCCTCAAAGAACTCCTTGCTTAGGTCAGAAAGGGAACCGAACAAGCACACGTAAGACTGGAGGGTAAGATGAAGCAGAGTGTGATGGGAGCTCCGGTCAGGGGCCCCCAACACTGGAGTGCAGTGAGATGAGATGAGTCGTCTCAACTTTTTCACTCTGCACAAAGCAGTACCCTCCCAGGTCCCTAGAGCTACCCCCCCCTTTTTTTTAGAGAGCAAGTGAGCAAGAGAGAGAGAGAGAGAGCATGAATGGGGGGAGGGGCAGAGGGAGAGGGAAAAGCAGACTCCCCGATGAGCAAGGAGCCCAATGCAGGACTTGATCCCAGGACCCTGGGATCATGACCCGAGCTGAAGGCAGATGCTCAACTGACGGAGCCACCCAGGCGCCCCTAGAGCTACTCTTTATGAGATTACACCCTTGTTGGCTATTTGCTCCCCCAGACCAGCACTATCTATTCTTACTCCATTTCCCAAGTGACTCATGGTAGCCTTTTGACAAGTGGCAGGGAGCAAAGCTGGACTCGGAACTTATGAGCTGGGATAGGCTATTCATTTTTGCATCTCTATGTGATCCTGGATTCCAGAGCTGAGCCTAGAATTTACTACCAGCCTTCAGATTGATGGCAGATGATGTGCATGCCTGAGGCCAGAGCTTCTCCAACCCAGTGTGTACTCCAACAGCCTGGAGATGGTGCAGAAATGCAGGTTCTGATTCAGTTGGTCCACAGCTGACCTGACACTGCATTTCTAACAATTTCCTAGACAAGGCTTGTGTTGCTGGTCCAGGGACCACACTCTGCAGAGCATTTTGAATAACATTTTGAAGAAAATGCTATTTTATTTATTTAAGGTCAACACTTGCTGGCACCTGCACACACACACACACACTCCCGCAAACTGGGACAAGCACTTCTGCAGCCACATATGAGGATGATCCAGCATGATCCAGCATGAGTCTTCTGGAAAGTAGGGCAGGATCCTGAGCGCTGTTGGCCAAGGCCAACAAATCTGCCATCAAAACAAGTAAGTGTAATTAGGAAGGAGGCTGACACAATACAAGGCCAAAGGTGTCATCAGCTGAGGTCCAAGAAAGGAACAAAAATTCATGAAGGAAATGCATTTGAAGGATGATTTGCTAATTAAGAAGTTGACAAGTTGGTTTTTAAAATAACCTTTTTGTACCTTTGCATGGGGTTGGCATGGCGTGTGGGAGGGGCCCTGACCAGGCCTCAACCGAGAAGGCGGGGACAGAGAGCTGTTTCCCTACGACAATGCCTCCACTATCCTTATCAGAATATGAGAAGCCTTCACCAGCAGTTGACTAAGCTATATCAGGGAAAACCTTAAGCAAAGAATAACTTCCCTTAAGTGCTGCCATCGTGTCATATTTCCTAATTTTAAAAATTTATTGAATCTATACAAAGCTGTAGTCATCAAAACAGTGTGATACTGGCACAAGAACAGACACATAGATCAACAGAACAGAATAGAGAACCCAGAAATAAACCCACAATTATATGGTCAATTAATTTTCAACAAAGGAGGCAAGAATATGCGATGGGAAAAAGACAGTCTCTTCAACTAATGGTGTTGGGAAAACTGGACAGCCACATGCAAAAGAATGAAACTGGACCACTTTCTTACACCATACACAAAAAGAAACTCAAAATGGATTGAAGACCTAAATGTGAGACCTGAAACCATCAAAATCCTAGAAGAGAGCACAGGCAGTAATTTCTCTGACACCGACCATAACAACATCTTTCTAGATACGTCTCCTGAGGCAAGGGAAGCAAAAGCAAAAATCAACTATTGGGACTACATCAAAATAAGAAACTTCTGCACAGCGAAGGAAACAAAACTAAAAGATAGCCTACTGAATGGGAGAAGAT